GACCGTGGCATCGAGACTTTTTAAAGGCGTTTGTTGCCGATAGTTCCGTACGGCCACCGCGTGCATTGTTATGGTCGTGGAATTTCCGTGTTTTCCGCGTAGTTTTATGAAACACCCTCGTTGATTGCCGACTGCCGTTAAATTGAGCTTCAGCTCTCGCGCGAGGTCGTCTGCGATAATGGATGTTGCGGCACACGGATCAATCAAAGCTCTTACCAGGTGCAAGCGTCCTCCTGCTTCTACCCTCACGATGGCTGTTGGCGCAACTGCGGTGAGTTGTTGTATCGGATTCATTGGGGCGTGATCTTGCCCAGACCGAAATCCGGTTCTTTTAGGGAGGTGGAATGCGTGTGATTCCACTCTCCCGTTGCGACGCTTATGCCGTGGGTGGTTACTTCGTCGTCGAGGTTGGGGGTATGAGGTATAGTATCGAGGTTGGGGGTATGAGGTATAGTATCGCGGTTGGAAAGTTCTAATTTCCAATCCGCTCTCTCTTGGCTGGTATCGTAAGAGCTGTCCGAAATGTTGGGGTTCCAACTCTAGCTCGCTCGCAGAATCCGGATGGAGTGCATTTGACTCCATTCCGGGCGCTTCGTCTGGGCGGAAAGCACTGGTTTCCGCTCCAGCGCTTAGCAATTCCCCTTCCTCGAAGTCCGGGCGGAAAGCAATTGTTTCCGCTCCAGTCTCGGACGCGACTAACGAAATCGCATCGCTGTCGTCTGCGTCATTGCGACTGGCCCGCGGTTGTTCATCGCCTGGTAGATCGATGAGAATCATTGTATGGTGTTGCTCTTTACAGCGTCGACAAGTTCCCGGATGAGTGCAATGAGCGGCACGATGCATCCCGGACAAGCAATTAGTACAGTACCGATGCACTAACACTTCACGAAGGCAATCCTCCGGCTATTTGGACCGAAACACTGGGCACAGTCGAATCGGATGCTTGCTACCACACAGCCTGCATGTTAGCGGATATTTCCTTGCCTCAGCCTGTTTACGCATGGTAGTGTAGGGAGTCATCTCCTGAAATTATGGTTTCCCACTTCATTAGGGATCGAAGCGAATAAAAATAACGTTGGAATGGCGAGCAATATAAAACCTAAATTTTTAGTCATCGTAAACCTTTTAACCGTGTTAAGTCCCTTTTATGATTGATAGGTACGAACGTGCAATCATGGCTTAATGGTTGGTGGGTAGGTGTAACAGGGTTGCCTGCGGCATGTGAGCTGTTTACCTCCTATGGAGGTTGTACGAAAATTATGGAGGAAGATTGAGATAGTAGGTCACATCTTCTTTATAGTGCCCTGTGGTTTCGGAAATAGCATCTAAAATTAACCAACCATCATAATTTGACTTTTTGTTGCTCATATGGAAATGTCGCCTTGCATTAAGTATGACTCGCGAAAATGAAAGATATATGAATAATTATATGAAAATCATTACGTATTATTTATTCTCCCACTCTATCTTTATGAAAATAAATGCAAAGTCCTTTATACGCTTTCAATCTGCGCAAATAGGTGTGCCACCAGCCTTAGGAAAATTGAACGTGTAACCGGGGTAAAATAAAGGTCGAGGTAACTCTGAAAGGTATCGAATTCGTTTATTTTGTTGTCGATAACAAACTATTTCCGTGAATGGCCGACTGTCACTCATAAACCACGTTTCGAGTAAATTGCTTGCGTAAGTATATTGTCTGTGGTTTTTTTTTTCACTGAATTTCCATTAATTCTTGAATTTTCTTTTCTTTTCAGGAATAGAGAACTGCAAAACAGTGGCGCGCAAAACAAATACGAAAGCACAACCTATATACCAAAATCTAAAGCAAAACTTGAAAAACATATTGAACAATTTATACAACCATATTAAACTAATAACGAATGAAAATTTATAAAAAA